TCACTCTCTGGCCCCAGGGGGGTTTATTTTGCTGATGAACACATAAGTAGTACGCAACGGAAATGCCAATTAACCCCATTTACGCTTCCAGCCACTCTACACCTGCATAAAGACAGACTGCAATAAAAATACCTCGACTGAGAGATTCCTCATATTACCAGAAAGATACACCATCCAAACGCAAATGTGAGTAAAGAAATCACTCTCATGCACACATATATGCATAAAATGTGCAGTAGCCTACACATACTGGGCGAAATGGATTCAAACACAGTCATTTAACACTGAAAACCTAAATGGAGCTGTAAAGGTGAGTCACATACTAGGCTGGTTGTCACTCTGCAGTATGTGTCAGCTATAAAGTGGATCTGACTGTTAGCAGTTTGATATGTGAGCCTTTAAAGCAATACCAGGCACATAACATAGTGCCAGTGAGGCTGAATAACCTAAGCTTAAATTACAGGTGCATCAGTCACAAAGCTATCAAATGACTTAAAATGTCAAGGAGAACATCTCAGAAATAACAATATGCCAGACATGCACCAACGGCATCAGTGAAATGGAATAGCGGCTGAAAGTTGACACTTACTGACAGAGACAGCCTTCACAGCATAATTGCTAAATGCCACAAAAGTACGGCTTAAATAAAACTCAGAATTGAATCGGCACCTCTTTGACCCAGAAGAATATACAAAGCTATGCTTCACAAAGGAGGGTTTTACAAAGCTGCAACTCAAAAAAATGTGTGTGAAGCCAGTATATGAGGAGCACAAAACCTACAAAAGTAATGTGGCGTGATGAGTGACCTTTCACCCTATTACCTACATCCAGACAGGCTTATGTTGGAGAAAACCAAACCCACTTGGTTGTGGACCTCTAATTGTATGAGACACTAGATCTTATGAAGGTCATTAGGTCTCATGATTCAACAGGACTGTTGTATAACAGCCCAGAAATAGTAGATTTTACAGGACCATCAGTGCTGCAGACATCTTTCCCTCTTTATTTTACAACTCATCTTGAAGTTGACACATCGTTTCCACCTTCATTACTCAAAGAATTACCCTCTTAAATAGTGCAATTTCACACTGCACACAGTTCAGGACGTGTTAAACAGCCATCCAAGAAGAAATGAAGCTGTTGCCAAGCCAAAGAATGATCCTGGCCTTTATAAGGACCTTGATGTTTCTGTTATTTAGCCCTATAGTAAACAAATCACTTCACAATATATTAATGATTCATTAAATATAAGAGTATTCAACTACTTGCGAGAATACATACAAAAATTAAACAAAACTCCACTCTTAAAAATAAAGGTTCCAAAAGGATGTTTTAATTTTTATTTACTGTATTTATTCATTCATTTTTTCGCAGGGATGCCATTTATTCAAATAACCTTTCAATGAACATTCTAAAAGAACCATTTTTCCCCTCAGATTTTTAAATAACCTTTTTCCACTATAAAGAACCTTTAGCGGAATGGAAATGTTCCATGGATGTTAAAGGTTCTTTATCAATGCCAATAAAGAATCTTTATTTTAAACAGTGTGGCATTTAAATTCAGAATTGCCCACCTAAACAACACTGTAAAAATGTTTTGTAAAAATGTTATGCTGAAGATGTGCCTCGTGTTGTAATATCTAAATCAACTGGTCTAATTCAAGCCAAAAAATATGATTTAATATGATTAAATATTTAGTCGCAACAATACACTTTTTTCAATTTTAAAGCTCAGATCTATGGGATTACATTTCTGCCACAATTCTGCGCACGAAAGATCATATTTTGAGCGCGCAAAAGTGCTTTTTGCATTTAAATTAAGTTTTTGGATGTGTGCAGACCTTCGCTTTTGCGCGTGCAATGTTTCACTAGCTTGCTCACCTGATTTAAAAGAAAAATAAGCGTAGAGCCCTGATTTTTATATATATATATATAGGCTTTATAGACAGATAAGTTGAGAGTGACTCTTGAAGGACCAGCACCACATCTTCTTGTACCACTGTTTGAAGAATTTATCTTCCAGAATCTGGCAGTAAGTTTTGGGTGTTCATTTTTAGTCCATCTCGAGATTTTATCTGTAGAAGATAACCTGCTTAATAATTATGCACACCTGAATATAAGGCGTGTTTCACTTCCAGCCTTCATGAACAATAATATATAGATTATAAGTGATTAAATACAAGATTAATAGTGGTTATTAAGATTGATGTTGTTTGGAATTGGTAAAATGTGCTTGGAAAAAAATATGATCAGAATATCAACTTGCATAATAATTATGCATGCACAGTATTTTTCCTCTTCTGCTGTCGAGGTAATGCAAGAAATGTTGTGAGTGGTTGTCAAGGCAGCCAATCAGAATTTAGCAGCCTCGTCTCTGATTGGCTGGAATTATGGCACATTGTAACGCTGGGTTGTGTTGAGCAAG